TCACAACAACTCCACTCTGCCATTGTAGCACAGAGTAGATTTAGAATCAGACAATATGTAAACAAATGAGCAAGGCTGGTTCCAATAAACCTTTATTACAAAGCAGATATGGGGCCATACTTGGTCTGCAGACCAAAGCTCACTGACTCTTGACCTAGTGAAAATGTAGGCTGAGAAGAGAAAATATTCCAAGATAGAGATAAGGCATTTCAATAATAATTATTACTATGGAGAAGGGCATGGCAACCCACTCCAGTATTCTTGCCTGAAGAATCCCATGGAAGGAGGAGCCTGAGGCAGGCTACCGTCCACAGGGTCACCAAGAGTCAGACATGACTGAAGTGCCTTAGCACAGCACACACATATATAATTATATTCACTTACGTCACCTGTCACTCTTCTAAGTGCTTTACTTATATTTAACTCACTTAATCTTTACAATAGCCAGTGAGGCAAGGACTGTTATTTATGTTTTACAAATGAAAAAACTATACCCTAAATAAAAAGTTGATTTCTCCTTCCCAAGGGGGGAAAAAACCCAAAGGTTGGCAGGCTAGGCTAGTATGATGATCCTCAGCAACCTAAACTACTTCCAGTTCATTCCTTTACCAGCTCTAGAGCATGACTCTCATCCTCATGGACCAAAATGGTGGCTAGGGTTCCAGACATCACATATACATTACAGGAAGCAGGAAGAAGGAGCAAAGGAGAAGAAGGAAAATGCATGCACCAGTTGTTATTTTAAGTTGTCTTTTATGTTCTCTAGAATCTGCCTTACAGTATCCTGTTACATCTCATTGGCCAGAAGGTAATCACACAGATGCCTGCACACACGAGAGAGACCAAGAAACAAAGGCCATGTGCCCAGCTAAAATTTAGAGGCTCTGTTACTAAAGCAGAAGAAGAACAGCATTAGAGTAGAGGCCCGAAACCTCTTATACCTCTGCCTCCGTTGTTGGAGTTCCATGTGCTTCCCAAATGCCAGCTCACCTGTCCTCTCTTCTGCAAGCCATCCGCACACCCTGAGCAGATACTTCCTGTGTTCCCTGTCACCACACCTCCTTGGATTTACTTCATCCTGGTGTATCTCCTTGACTCATTTCCTCTACTTGACCAAATGACTCAAGGGCAGGGAGGCCAGATTGAGATAGGGAAGGTAAACTTTGAAAAACAAAAGGAAATACACAGTGAAGCTGCCAATGCAGAAAAAGAATGAGTCTTCAAGACACTCTGATCCCTGTTGAGGAGCTGGGCTCAGACAGCCAGTAGAACAGACAGTTCTCCAAGTTCACTTCTGCGTGCTCAGTCGCTTCAGCCACGTCCAGCTCTTTGCGACCCTGTGGACTGTAGCCCACCAGGACCCTCTGTCCACGGGATTCTCCAGGCAAGAATGCTGGGGTGGGTTTTCATGCCCTCCACCAGGGGATCTTCCCAATCTGGGAATCAAACTTGTGTCTGTCTGCACCTCCTCCACTGCAGGCAGATTCTTGACCCACTGAGCCACCTGCGAAGCCTGACTTCACTGCTTGTGAATTAATCTGGGAAAACTTGAAAAAGTTATCACAATCAGGTTCTACCCCACATTGATTAAATCACAATTTCTGCAGATGACACTTGAGCACTGGTGTTTTTAAAGTTTGTGGATGATTCCAATGTGCAGCCTTATTTGAGAGTCAACACAGCTGAAGACAGAAGAAAAGAGAGACCCAAAGACATAAACAATTCTCCTCCTTCAGAGTCCTTGAGGGTTTGCTGTTTACCTACCAGTTTCCCCAGCAAGATCATTAGTCTTATCCTTTTAGGTTATTTCCTAAAGGACAAAGGTGTACTTAGATAATAAATTATTATTGATTGAAACACTTCTAATAAGAATTATGAAAGCCCTCCTGAGTTTATTTCAGGCTGTTTGATGCTCTGTGAGTCAAATAACTCGTAAGCTTCTCTCTCTCAGTAACTAAATTAGACTCGTCAGCCAGGGAAATAAGAGAGCAGACTTACTAAAGCTCACCTCGTTCGTGACATGTAATATGTTTAAATTGCTTTGTTGACTTCACAAAAAGACAGGCTGGATCGATCACAAGTGGCAGTGCTAAGATTGCCTCTGTCAAGAATGAGGGACTGTATTTCAACTTGAACTCCATTTCCAGCTCCCGGTCATCAGCTTCACACGTTTACTCTAAGAGTCACCCCACTTGGTACAAGAAGAATGCATCATTTCAGAAAAGTTTGGTTCTATATTTTCCAAAAGATAAGAGTAAGTGAAGAACCTGTTTAAACATGTCTTGAAACTTTTTTTTCTGTTCAAAGATTTATGGGAGAATTCAGGATTGTTTTAACTCCATCAAAATGCTGTTGAGAATTTAGAGGGGGGGAAAGTGGTTCAGGAATTCTTCTTTCTTTGCTGCAGTATGTAGATCAGTTCTGAGGCAGAAGAAGAAAAATATGATTTTTCAAGCACATTTAGAGATCTTGGAAAAATGTTTAGAAGTGTTCCTTTGTAATGAAATTTGAGGTTCTGGCTTGAGTTGGTACTGTTACTGGTGAAAAGCAAGAAATGGCTTGGACTTGTGCCTTCAATGAACTAGAAAGAGAGCCAGGAAATGCACTGGGCAAAACTGAATAACTGGATGGTTTTGACATGCAGCTTCTAACCAGAAAAGGAGGCCTTGGAACATATGTGTTTGCCAGGAAAGAAAACTGCTTTATTGAAAGGTTAATTTTCAGATTAGTTTGGGGAAATTTGAGATAAATACATGAGATCAGACAAAGAAACATAAGGCCTGGATCCTTTTTCCTAGGGTTTTCAGAAAATAGTCATTGCTTCCAGTGAAATGTTTTGACACTTTCAGTAGGGAGAAAATGTTAATTGTAATGTTGTGTGTATGTGTTCTTAAAAACACTTGCGAATAAATCTTTTATTTGTTTGAAGAGTAATCAGAGAGTAAAAACACTGTTAAGATGTTAGCTACATTCCTTATTCCTTATGGTAACTTCTGTGCTCTCTAGGATGTTGGAATTCATTTTCTGTACCAATTTGAAGAACATTTTCCTTGTTCAGTTGCAATTTTCTGAGGAGTCTTATTACTAAACATCCACCCAGGAGTTTGGCTGCCTGGGTTTCTTCCCTCATCTTGTCTCATCTGTTGCTTATTTTCTAATTTTTAATCTTCTTCCCTGAATCCATGTCACCTTTACTTCATGCATAAAATCATCAGCCCTTACCAACTCTTGACAGTGGTCCACTTGACTCTTTGTGTTGAAAACACCTGCTATTAAACTACTTAGTGATAGGGCCCATGATTGACTTCCTGAATCAACACCTCTGCTCCCACCTGCTCCTTGCTTTGTACGGAACAGATACCCCATAGATGTTTGTTGAATAACTGTAATATCCTCCTTTCTCCGGTCTTATGTCCCTGTGCAAAATTCCTCATTGCAGTTGACTGGAGCTTTATGTCCAAAGTGGAAGTGTTACAATGGGACATTGCAACATCACATGTGGTCCCTTAGGAGGGAAATACCAAGAGGTCACCCATTCAGGGACTAACAGGATCCCAAGTGTACACGTTACCTCCTGAGGCCAGCCCTCCCGACTAAGTCTTCCAAAGAAAAAGAACCTCCAACTTCAAAGAAAGCAACTTGCACCCTTCCTGAATCATGATCTAGAACACACGTGCTCACCGCCATCCACATGGAGAAAACAGCATCGGTCATCATCGTAGCAGGCTTTTATCTCTAACTTGGTATTTGTTTGTGTCTTAAATGGCAGTTCTCCTAGAAAAGGCCTCTCCCTTTTGGATCACTATCTTTAAATGTCAAGCGCATGACTACTACTTAAATCACAGTTAAGCTCAAAGATCATCTCAAAAGCAGAACTGAAAGAGAATGAAATGATAGTTGCACAGTCTGAAAAAGTATGGATATGTGTATCTGTGCAACTGAATCACTTTGCTGTACACCTAAAACTAACACTGCAGTACAAATCAACGACACTCCAATATGAAATAAAAATTGAACTCAAAAAAAGAAAAACTGGTAGCATACTATAAAAAGCATCCCCCCCAAGATCAAAAGGGGGACACTGCTCTCCCAGAGGGGTGTTCTGCATACCGGGTGTGACACACACTTCCCCCTTGTGCGCTTACCAACACAACCAAGGCAAAATGAGCAAAGCGAAGTTCAGCTCCAGGCCGCATGTCGATTAGGCTAATGATGTAGAAAATCACCAGGGGCAAGGAGCAGAACAGAGCTCACAAACGCCAGCGGTGTTTTCAGATGTCCCTTGCGTGGTGTCTTTTAAAAACCTGTGGGCCCCATGTGTCTTTTTTCCTGCCTTAGAAGCCCATGGGTGACGTTCAACAACAGATGTAACGTTTGTGTGACTAGATTAATGTTCCAGAGTCATCAGGCTCGTTACGGCTGGATTTTCTCTGGTCCCTGCTAATAAACTAGATTATTGATTTTCGGATTTTCTGTGTATCCAAGGATAGTCTCTAAGATGTCTTTATAATGTTTCATGCTTAAGTTGTCAACCAAAATGACATAACAATGAGTAATCATTTTCTAATCATGTGGAAAGGAGTTAAAAACAGCATATAAAATGGATCTTCCCAGCCTTGGAGCCACAGACACGTCCCGGCTGTCTGTCCTCCAGCCGGGCAGAGGCCGTGCCTACCTGCCTGCCATCTTTTCCGGGAATTAGGTGCATTCACAGCTTAAGACCTTTGATAGTCAGAAATCTGCTTTCCAACATGTTTGAATGGCAGCAGGGCTCCAAAGACACCTCCACCTAAATAGGATTTTAGCACATCAGGTGCCGTGGAAAGTACAGCAGGCTGGGCTGCCGGGCGGCTGGTGTTTATTCATCCCCGCGTCTCCTTGCATGTGTATGTATGTACGCTTCTCACCGTATATGCCCGGCACGCGGGGCGTTATGGGCTGGGGACTGCATCCATAGCGTGTGTGTATATGTAAAGTAGAAACAGATCCCAGGCACCAAAATGAACTTCTATGTGCAAGAACTCTACGAAGTACACCCAGCTGCCGGCAGCAACTGCCACATGCAGGCCACTGATTATTACGCGTATTTCGAAGATAGTCCAGGTTACAGTGGTTGCAACGCTCAGGCTGTGCCCAGTAACAACATATATATGGAACAGGCCTGGGCAGTGAATCAGCCTTATACCTGTAGTTACCCTGGAAACGTGCTGAAAAGCAGGGACTCGGACTTGGACATGGCCCTGAATCAATACAGCCAACCTGAATATTTCACTGAAGAAAAGCCTACTTTTTCTCAAGTGCAGTCGCCATCGTACTCTCAGAAAAAAGGTAGGGACCATTTTCCTTCCGTTTGATCCAAGTTTCCGTGTTTGTCTCTGGGGTGTTTTAAAGGGACCCTTTGCATCCGCTTTGTCAAATCTTTGACTTTGAACGCTGAACATTTGAAATTAAAAATAGCAGGAAAGAGAGGTTGCTAAGTGATTGAAAGGGGTCCTTGAACGGCAAAGATTTCCAAGCACTTTTTTCTTCCAGTATGCAAGCTGGATGGAGTTGGTTTGTTAGGCTGTGATTTTATTATCTATATAGCGTGTGTGCACGAGTGTGGATACACACTGCCCACAGGGAATACTGTCAGGTTCTTTGCTAAAGAAAATACATTAAGGCTTCCCCCTTGGTGGACTGGCACTGTTGCTTTTGAAACGGGATCATTCTCCTCGGCTCTGGTTCAGATTAAAAACTCATTTGACTTTTTCTTGGCACTTTATATTGAAAGTTTATTTTAGGTAAGTAGTAAAATATTTTCACGATTTTTTTTTACCATACTATAATGTTGAGATGTTGAGATTTGTAAATGTTCTTTTTAATATATTTACTTATCCACATAAACTGTAAAGAAGCTACTTGTAATCATAACAAACTATAAGAATATAAAACTCATTAAGAAACTGATACACTTTACCTTGCCATCATGTGCCTAAAGGTGGACGTGTTTGCCATCATGTCAAATAAACTCTGCACAAAAGAGAATGAAATAGCCTTCAAAATATCCAATATTCAAACAAGTGCAATATCCATTTAACAGATGCTGCAGTTTTCCAATACTGTTTAATTTTCTATCAGTAGAACCTATCTCATATTACCAAAAGCTAAAATAAAAGAGGCAAACTGGTGGTACTCAAGAAACTTAAAAGCAGTTGCCAGATAGAAATGCTTTTGAAAATAGCTTAAATTCTAGTGCAAATATGCCAGAAACTCTTTTTTTTTCCTGTGTAAATCCACAGGATATTTCAGTGGAAACCAAATTTATAGGTCTTCATAATTTGCAAGAATATAATGCCCTCTGATCTTCAAAGATGAATTTCTCCATGAAATTATCTTAAAACATAAGATAGTTTGATTGTGGATCCTATAAAAATTTTATTTGCCTTCCTTAATATGTGTCCACAATTAAAAGTAGCCCGTTTAAACAAAATTTTGAAAAACAAAACCCCGTTTAGTTTTTACCATATGCTGTGTTTTTATTCTCTGTGCTATCCTGTAATTTCCAGATACGAAGGAAATTGAAGCATAAAACATTTTCAGAGTCATTCATCTGCATTTTCATTTAGTTTAACATTTCTCTTGAAAGGCATCAGAAATTCTCACTTATTACAAGGGACACTGCATGTTAGTCCCCTAATAGGAACTTTGAGATAGATTGCATGCTCTCTATTTCACTTAATATTATACTTATAAGTAATTTATCTTTGAAAAGCAGTTAACATTGCTTCATTAGGCTTGCCTTGGTTTGTCTCTATATTTGGGCATTCCACTATTATTAAAAACTCTTGCAAAACTTTAGAGCTTTTACTCTTTTTTTGTTTTGTCTTTTCACTGTATTTTCTTCCACCAGTGCCGGAGAATATTTGCTTATGAAATGCTAAACCAATGATTCTTTACTAATTAACTTGACGCATGAACTAGAGACTAAGACATCATATGCATATATTGATGTAATTTCTCAAAGCCATATGCCATTGAAAGGCCACTGCCACCTGCCAAACTCACTAAATCAAAGCAGGCAAATATTCTTAAATGCACCATTATTTACTGTTACAAGTCTTTAAGTAAATCCCAGTAAAACTAAACCCAGCTGTTAACTGTCTCTTAGGACAAAAGGTCAGACCCAACACGTTTATCCATATTGATCCATTATTGATTTTTGTTGTTGTTGGAGAACATCAGTCGTATCTCCTTAAGGCAAAATTAAGACTATAAACAGGTGTTCAGTGGGGCAGGCCTCATTATTCCAATTGGATTTTTATCTATTTTCATGAAATTCATAATTGCTTCATCTGTGCTTGTTGCTGTCACAACAGCTTTATAAACTCTTCAATAATGCAGTTGTCTTAAGTTTTTCACTGTTTTTTTTTAAGGATGACTTATTCTCTAGCCTTTAATTGGAGTTTTCTAGTATGTAGAAAATGATCGTAATCTTGTTTTAAAAAAAAAAGTGTTATAAGTACACATAGATGAAATAAAGGAAGACTGCAGAACCCAGTGACAAGACTGATTATTTCAATAATAGACTTTAGAATGACTTAGTTCCCTTTGCATTGTTTTCCTCTGTCTTTACATGTATAAAATAGCCAAGAGGGGGAAAATGTTATCAAGCTCCTGAAGCACTGAGAACGTGAATTAACGGAGAGTTAGAATACAGTTCACTGAATGAAATTTAAAATAAAACTTTAAGAAGGGGAATAAGTAATTTCCACATGGCGAGGGACTGAGATCCACAGCATGCATTTACTTTTACCTAGATGAATCTATGTTTCATATAGTATATGAAAACACGTTTTCAATTTTTGAAAGTTAGGGACAAATCAAAAGAACTCGAGCAATCACTAAGAAGATACAGCTTCCTACTTCTTATCTTTCAAGGAGCCTAACCATGGTTTGTTATGTCAACATCAGCCAACAGAGCCGGTTCTGCCCCACACTTTCTTCCCAGTCCCAACTCAGAAGAAATAGGAGCACATTTAGAAACCAGACAAAGGGAAGGGAAATTGGCAGGCAGGGTGCTGTGTCTTCTCCTTTGTGGCCGAGGCTTCAGCAGAGCTAAAAGTCAATTTTTTTTTTTTTTTTTTTTGGCAAGGGGTGCTGGCTGTTTCCACCAGAAATTCCAGTTACATTCCAGAGTCCCCAAAGAGCCTGAGCCTGGCCGCTCTGCGGGCAGCTTGGCCAGTCCGCCTCTGGGTCTGCTTCAACAGGCTCCTTCCTTGCACTGTGTGTGTCCTGTGCAACTCGCCTCCCCTGGGTTCTCTGCTTGACATCCTCCGTACCATCTTTGTAAGATCTGCACGTCCAAAACACAGCTAGTGTGTTTACATACAAGTTGGTTATCATGTCCAAGAAAGTAAGAATTTCCTGGTTTTGAGCCAGGATCAAGGAGATGGGTGTGTTTGTCCTATTTCGTTTGGGGGTTGGATTGCACGTGTACTTGTTCACCAGCCGCCATCTTACTGTCACAGAAAGAAGACTTCATACCTGAAGAAACACCTTCACATAGAGCCATTGTTTCTGGATCTGTTTCCATTGCCACTCTACCTCTAGTCAGGAATCTAACATTTTTTTTTCCATGTTCTGTAGCTCTGTTGACTGTGTGTGAGTAATTGTGTAGATATTAGAAATGGAAATGAAATGGTAGGTGGAGAATGATTGAAATGGTCCACATCAAAGAACACTGGATTAAAAACAAGAGTTAAGCCCTAAAGAAATCCTAATTAGAATTTCCTTGTTGTTGTTGTTTAGTTGCTAAGTCGACTAAACATGGGCTGTAGCCCACTCGGCTCCCCGCTCCCTTGTCCATGGGATTTCCCAGGCAAGAATACTGGAGTGGGGTGCCATTTCCTCCTCCAAGGGGATCTTCCCAACCCAGAGGTGGAACTCACATCTCCTAAGTTGGCAGCAGATTCTTTACCACTGAGACCCCTGGGAAGCCACAATTAGAATTTCCTTAACGTCTGTTAAGGTTGAAGAAGGCTTGCTATACAGTAGATCTGAGGATATTTAGGCTCGAGTCTGCCCTGAAAAACAGAAATGTTACACAAGAAACAAGTACCCTTAAACCCCAGAATCACACCCAGTCCACGGAGAGGCAGGCAGAAAAGGAAACAAAGAAAGGGAAGATTTATGGTCAGTCCACCCAATGAACCAAATGCCACAGGCGTCATGTCTTTACAGTGGAATCCTTAAGAGGTCAGTGCAACTGCAGACCTTTCTGCAGCGCTTATATAATTGTAAGGATGCTGGTACCAGTCAGGATTTCCACTTGGGCACCGCCACCCACGTGCTGTGAAGAGTCGACACCACCCCAGAAAATAATAGGAATTTTTTTTTTTTAAATACAAAACACCTTAGCTGTTCAACAGGTTAAAGTGCCTCTCAGCACCCAGAAATGCAAGCAAAGGAAGGAACCATAGTTGTTTCCAAAGCAGGCCCAAGTGCCGACGAAAGCTCGAGCCTGCCCTTCTGTCTTCTCTTTCCTGAGAACCAGAGGTTGTCTTGTCAGAGGCATGTCCTTCAGAGATTTCACTGGGTGCCCTCAGGCGTCCACTGTCACTGCTCAAGGTGACAGGCATACCAGGAGTCCAAGGTCTTAGGAGACGCTGAAGTCAGGGGCTGGCAGGCGGGGGAAGGAGTGTTGGAGCTGTGTGCTTGCTGCGTTGGGGGTTCCCGTCCACCGCCTCTCATCCCTTTGTGAAATCATTCCTGCAGACTCTGGTTTTTCTCAGCTCCCAGCATTGAGGGGCACTCAGCCTGAGACCCAGTGGCCTCCCACTCTGCCGTCTGCTCTGGGCCAGCTTTTAGGACCCCTCTCCTCCTACTAAAGCACCAGGGACCCGCCTTCCCCCATTTCCATGCCCTGGTGGCGACCGCGGCCTATCCTTGGTCCCAGGCTCATCTCAGGCCTGAGGATCTCCTCAGCCCTCCAGAGACACTCCCGGGGCGGTCCTTCCGCCCAGCCGCGCGCAGACACTTCCTGCCGCGCTGCCCCGTTTCCGCGAGCCCCGCCCTCTCCCCAAAAGCCTCTCTTCCGGTCCCCCCTCCCCCCACCCCGCGCTCTCCACCCTCCACAGGGCCCCTCCTCAAGGTGTCCCACCCTCTCCGTGACCTGCCGGGCCAGACACCCACTCAGCCAACTCTCCGCTGCCCTGAAGTGCTCCCTCGGGATTCTGGCTCTGTGCTTCCGGCCACACCCGCTGTTCCAGAAAGCTCGGCCGTTTCCTCGCGCCCCTCACGCGCCCCTCACCCCTGAACCGATGATACTTTTCTCTCCGCCGCCTCCC